GTAATTTGTTTCCGTAAAAGGAGAGCATTAACATATTCAACCTAGCATTTCTTAGAAGGTATTGTACTAGACAGCCAGTGTTTCAGAGAAATACACACAGTAGAAGCAGACAAAGCAGTATGTGTTGAGATAATTAGGTGTGAGTTGCTCATTAACATTTCTTTGGTTTCCAAGGGAGAGAAGGTGTATGCTGGAGTGAGTCATTAAGGTCACCTGGCAGAGGGTCTACATGAGGAATTTGAGGTGTGACTGGGCATTAACATATCTTTATTTTCCAAGGGTAGGAGAGGTCTGAGGTGTGAATTTGTCATTTCAACGTGATTTATAGAGTTAGGACCACAGATACTCAGGGTGCCGTGATGTGGCTTTGTGGCTTACGTATGTATTTGCAAATGTGTGCTAACTAAACCCCTGTTTTTAAACACATGTTCTTAGACAGATTAATTTGGTTTTTGATAGTTGGCTAACTGGCTGGCAGTTTGAACTGGCTTTCTTATACCCCTCTTTTGATAAGTTATACTTATCCATGTTCCTTGCCGACAATAGCCATTATTAGACTGGGGTAGGCTGGCAAGTTGAGCTGGATAGTTCTATTTTTTACTCTGTGACGCCTTCCATGTTCACTGTTTAAAAAGCCAGTTATAGACCTGGGTAGGTGACCAGTTTTTTCTTTGTATGTCATTTCAACGTGTGACAAGCTTGGTAGTAACATCCTGTTAAGTGTTTTGTCCATCCTGTTAAGTGTTTTGTACATCTGAGCACCTTGAAAACTCTTTGCATGCATTTTTCATGTTGAAAAAAGGCTCTGGACAGCATTGGGAACTGGAAGAGTTAAAAAAAACATTTCAAAAGTAAACGCTTATAATCGCGATTTGCCGCGTTTAGCCATGTTTGAATCATTCATAGAATCGACGTCTGAACGCAAGTTTGTTGCGTTCCAAAAAACGACTGTAAACAACTAAACGAAGATGTGTACATGGACACATAGGAAAAAATTAGGGTGCATTCCGGGGCTTCTGAAAAAAATGCTGAACAGCCCAGCAGCAGTGTACATGAGAGCCCTAAGTTGAAGATATTTATAAAAATAAAATAGATAATGAAAACTCCTTACTCAACTGATCATATGACTTCAGATGAACATCAGAAAATAACTGACTAAGATAAAGAATACCTCCATTTTTCCATTCTGAGAAACCTAATTTATTTAATTCTGGGTACCTAGGATTATTCTAGATAGGGGTGAAATCTGTGAAACCTGAGATAGCCAACACTACCTTTAAGGCATACCAGACCTTCAGCAGGAGAACAGCAGTGGGACTTGAGGAAGGGAGATCCATATCTAAATGAGAAGCAGGCATTAAATCCGGATTGTGGACAGAGATCAGACTGGCAATCGGATCTAGATTTTCCTGTCGTCCCCACCCCGCAAGCTGCTGGAATTGAGCGGCAAGAAAGTACCACTTAGCATGTGGAACAGCTAGCCCCCCCCCCATCTTTACCATACTGTAGGGTATTCAGACTTATCTGACCAGTCCCCCTTCTCCAAATAAGGGCCCTAAAATTGAGTCCACCCTCTAGAACCACTTCTGTGAAATCCACATAGGAGAATTATGAAATATGTATAAGGGTTGAGGATCCCAAATTTTGATAAGGTTAACTCTGGTAGTAAATTCAGTGACAGATAGGAAGAGGGATCTGGAGAAATCATCACACCAGTATATTTAAAGGATTGAACAATAGGATTTGCCTGGAACATGCCGGTAGAGGAGAGGAAATGGGATCCAAGGCCATAAGGGCAGACTTCGTCCAGTTAATAGTGAAACCTGAAAAATTACCAATTTCAATAATGGTCTCCATCTGGATTCGAATGAAGTCAGCCACGTCCCCCAAATAAATCAGCATATCATCAGCATAGAGAGATACTTTATCCTCTACGCTACCTCTGTGGAATCTTACAATCGAGGGGAGTCGGCAAATCAGCATTGCCAAGGGTTCCACTGCTAGTGCAAACAGCAGGGGGGATAGAGGGCAACCCTGACGAGTGCCCCTATATAAGGGGAAAGTGGATGAGAGCACATTATTAATACGAAGTCTAGCACGAGGGGCTGAGTAAAGTACCTGCACCCATTTTATAAAACCCTCCCCCAGGCCAAATCACCTAAACCTCCCAGAGTTAGGGCCACTCAACACTATCAAAAGCTTTAGCAGCATCCAAGGAAAGGATGGCCCTAACTCCTGGATTATTCACAGGTATCTGCAAATTGAGAAACAAGCGTCTTATGTTATTGGCAGTTGATCTAGAGGGAATAAATCCTGATTGGTCTGGATGTATCAGCTTGCTTATCACCCGAGAGTCTGGTAGCAAGAGCTCTGACCAGGAGTTTAACGTCTGTATTTAGCAAAGAGATAGGGCGGTAGGAGTCATTGTGCAGCCTGTCCTTCCCAGGCTTCGGGATCACCACAATAATAGGCTCTTTTATTGACTCTGGGAGATGACATCCTTTTAAAAGGTTCTAAATTCCCGGGGGGGGGGGGGAGTTCAGCAATCATGTGAGACCTGGAGAAACCCTTCGATTGTGCAGAAAAACAGGTCTTGCAGAATGCTATGTGAACCTTCAAACAGTAGTAAGGGTCAGACTGGTCCTTACAGTAGCAGAGTGTAAAGAGGGATGATTAAACACTTGCTCTCCAGAGGATTTACTCCCCTTCCTTAACATGACATTTTTTGCATTGCAGTGCTGCACTATTTCAACTGGTAATTGCACTGTCATGCAATGCTGTACTCAAACGAAATTTATGTTTTTTTTCCACACAAATACAGCTTTCTTTTGGTGCATTTGATCACCTCTGGGTTTTTAATTTTTTGCGCTGTAAACAGAAAAAATACCAAAAATTTTGAAAAAAAACCCAATATTTTTTCATTTCTGTTATAAAAAATATCCTACAAACTCAAACTTCGCCATAAATTTAGGCCAGAATGTATTTTGCTATATGTCTTTGGTAAAAAAAAATCCCAATAAATGTATATTAATTGGTTTGTGTGAAAGTTATAGCATCTACAAACTATGGTATAGATACTGCAATTTACGCTATTTTTTGCTATACAGTGCTGAGCTAGTTTAATTGACAATTGTGCGGTCATGCGATACTGTACATAAATTTAATTTATTTTTTTTTTTTCACACAAATAGAGCTTTCTTTTGTTGGTATTTGATCACCTCTGGGTTTTTTATTTTTTGCGCTATAAACAAAAAAGGGTTGAAAAAAACAATATTTTTTCATTTCTGTCATAAAAAATATCCAATAAACTTAAATTTACACAGCTTTTCCCCTCTGACTGCATATTTGCTAAAATTCCAGGGCACTACAAACACTCTCAAATGACCCCTTTTCAGAAAGTAGACACCGTAAGCTATCTTCTGAGAGGCATGTTGAGTCCATGGAAGATTATTTTTTTCCACAAGTTTTTGGAAAACGACATTTTTTTTTTAACACAAAGTTGTCATTTAAATGGTATATTGTTCACACATGCCATGGGTATATTTGGAAATTACATCCCAAAATACATTCTGCTACTTCTCCTGAGTATGGGGATACCACATACGTGAGACTTTTTGGGAACCTAGCCACATACAGGAGCTCGATATCCAATGACCACTTTGAAAGCCTGATGGTGCATAAATTCCTCATTTCACTTCCTCACTCCCTATCCCAGTTTTAGACGCTCTTAAATTCCAGGATAACACAATCCCCTCACAAATTACCCCTTTTTGGAAAGTAGACACCTCAACCAATTTGCTAAGAGGTATGTTGAGTTAATGGAATACTTTATTTTTTACCACAAGGTTTTGGTAAATGACAAAAAAACATTTTTTTTCTTTACACAAAGTTGTCTTTTAAATTATATATTGCTCACAAATGCCATGGGTATATGTGGAATTACACCCAAAAATACATTCTGCTACTTCTACCGAGTATGGGGATACTCAATGTGTGAGACTTTTTGGAAGCCTGACCACATACAGGAGCCCAAAATCTAATGACCCCTTTGAAAGCCTGAAGGTGCGTAACTTCCTCAATATGCTTCCTCACTAACTATCACAGTTTTGGAGGCCCTTAAATGCCAGGATAGCACCAAACTCCCCCAAATAACCCCTTTTTGGAAAGTAGACACCCCAAGGAATTTAATAAGAGGCATGGCGAGTATTTTGCAGATCTCATTTTTTCTCACAAGGTTTTAAAAAAAAAAAAAAAAAATATGTTTTTTGTTTTCTTTCTTCATTTTCCAAAAAACATGTGGCAACAAACAAGATTTGCAAAATACTCACCATGCTTCTGATCAAATTCCTTGGGGTGTCTGCTTTCCAAAAAGGGGTCATTTGGGGAAAGGGGGGGTTTGTACTATTCTGGCATTTCAGTTCCTTCGAAACTGTGATAGGTAGCCAGGAAGTGTAATGAGGAAATAAAGCTCTTTAAAAGCCTTATTGGATATTGGGATCCTGTCTACGGCTAGACTTCCAAAAAGTCTCCACATACTCGGGAGAAGTAGAAGAATGTATTTTGGGAAAGTAATTCCATGGCATGTGTGAGCAATATATCATTTAACCACTTGCCTACCGGGCACTTATACCCCCTTCTTTACCAGGCCAATTTTCAGCTTTCAGCGCTGTCGCACTTTGATTGACAATTGCACGGTCATGCAAGATTGTACCCATATGAAATTTTTATCATTTTTTTCTCACAAATAGAGCTTTCTTTTGGTGGTATTTAATCGCCACTGGGCACTTTACTTTTTGCGCTATAAACAAAAAAATTGCAAAAAATTTGTAAAAAAAAAGTTTCTTTGTTTCTATTATAAAATTTTTCAAACAGGTAATTTTTCTCCTTCACTGATGTGCGTTGATGAAGCAGCACTGATGGGCACTGATAGGCAGCACTGATGGGCGACACTGATAGGCAGCACTAAAGAGGTGGCACGGATAGGCGGCACTGATAGGCGACACTGATGATGGGTACTGATAGACAGCACTGATAGGTGGCACTGACTGGCACAACCGCTGGGCACTGACTGGCACAACCGCTGGGCACTGACTGGTGCCACTGACTGGCAGCACTGCTGGGCTGCACTGATGGGCTTTGGTGGGCACAGGTGGGTGGCACTGGTGGGCACAGGTGGGTGGCACTGCTGGGCACAGGTAGGTGGCACTTCTTGGCACACTTGTGTGACACTGTTGGGTGGCACAGGTGGGTGCATTGCTGGGCACAGGTGGATGCACTGCTGGGCACAGGTGAGCGGAGCTAGTGGGTGCACTGCTGGGCACAGGTGGGCGGAGTTAGTGGGCACAAGTGGGCGGAACTTGTGGGTGGCACTGCTGGGCACTGATCATCAGGGCACTGATCAACAGTGCCCTGATGATCAGTGCCGATCCCTTCTCTAACAACTGCCGGTTCTCGGCAGTACTTTCCTCACGATCTGACAGCGTGAGGAAAGTGCAGCCGAGAACTGGCAATTGCATTTCCCGGTGATCAGCGTGTCATTGGACCCGGCTGATCACGTGGTAAAAGGCCGCTGTGATTGTCCTTTTACCACATCACGTGATCAGCTGTGTCCGGAGCGCGTTCTGGGAGGACGTCATATGACGCCCACCCAGAACTGGCCGGCCGCAGTACAGCCGTCATTCGGCTATCTGCGGTCGGCAGGTAGTTAAGTGACAACTTTGTGTAAAAAAAAAAATTTTATTGGTCATTTTCCAAAAACTTGTGGTAAAAAAATTAATTCTTCTGTTGACTCAACATGCCTCTCAGCAAATAGTTTGGGGTGTCTACTTTACAAAAAGGAATCATTTTTTTTTGGGGGGGGTGGCATTTTATGCCCAGCATTAGACGTTTATGCCACACATCACTTTCTATTTTTCACTTTTTATTCACCTGAAAAAAATCTGTATTTTTTTCGTTAAGAAATTAGATTGAACCCCCAAACATTATATATTTTTAAAACAGATGCCCTAGTGAATAAAATGGTAGGTGGTGCAATTTTTTATGTCACATAGTACTTGCACAGCGATTTTTCAAACGCAATTTAAAAAAAACAAACACTTTTTTTCTTTTAATGCACAAAAACACAATATATTGGCCAATTGTTTGGTAAACTATAAAAGATGATGGTATGTCGAGTAAACAAATTCCTCTATTGACATCGATCGATGTGGATGAAGAAATCTCTGTTAACTTTTTTTTGTTAATATATGCAAAGCATAGAGGCCATCCACCCACTGGCCAACCCAGGCACCCATGCTTGAGCATATATGCTCTTTTTTAACTGTGGACGAAAAATCTCATCCAACAGTGCTGCACGCACTGACGTATATTCTGAGAGCAAAACCTGTTGCTGTCAGAATAATCAGATCGGATGCAGCTGAATGGCATTCCTGCAAAGAAAACAGCAACGGTTAACAATAAAATAGTGACAATAAAGCAGTAACACAATAAAACAACGTTTTTATTGAAATGTGTGCCAAAAATATTATAAAATATATATGCCGAAGCATAGGGGCAATCCACCCACTGGCCACCCCAGGCCCCCATACTTGGGCATATATGCTCTTTTTTTAATTGTGGCTGAAAATTCTCATCCAACAGCGCTTCACACACTTATGTACTGCTCAAAAAAGTTAAAGTAACACTTTTTAATCAGAGTATAGCATCAAGTCAATTAAACTCTTGGGATATTGATCTGGTCAGTTAAGTAGCATAGGAAGTTGTTAATCAGTTTCAGATGCTTTGGTGTTAATGAAATTAACAATGGGTACACTAGATGCACAGCAATAAGTCAACCCCCAAAACAGGAATGGTTTTACAGGTGGAGGCCACTGACATTTTTTTCCCTACTCATCTTTTCTGACTGTTTATCACTAGTTTTACATTTGGCTAGGGTCAGTGTCACTACTGGTAGCATGAAGCAATACCTGGACCCTACAGAGGTTGCACAGGAAGTCCAAGTCCTCCAGGATGGCACATAAAAACATGCTATTGCCAGAAGGTTTGCTGTGTCTACCAGCACAGTTTCAAGAGCATGGAGGAGATTCCAGGAGACAGGCAGTTACTCTGGTAGAGCTGGAAAGGGCTGTAGAAGGTCCTTAACCCATCAGCAGGACTGATATCTGCTCCTTTGTGCAAGGAAGAACAGAATGAGCACTGCCAGAGCCCCACCAAATGCCTCCAGCAGGCCACTGGTGTGAATGTCTCTGACTAAACAATCAGAAACAGACTTCATGAGGGTGGCCTGCCCAGCACTATAGAGCTGGATTGGCATTTGCTATTGAACACCAGAATTGGCAGGTCCGCCACTGGCATCCTGTGCTTTTCACAGGTGAGAGCAGGTTCACCCTGAGCACATGTGATAGACGTGAAAGAATCTAGAGAAGCTGTGAAGAATGTTATGCTGCCTGTAACATCGTTCAGCATGACTGTTTTGGTGGTGGGTCAGTGATGGTCTGGGGAGGCATATCCATGGAGGGACGCACATACCTCTACAGACTAGAAAATGGCACCCTGACTGCCATTAGGTATCAAGATGAAATCCTTGGACCCATTGTTAGACCCTGCTCTGGTACAGTGGTTCCTGGGTTCCTCCTGGTGCATGACACTGCCTGGCACATGTAGCAAGAGTTTGCATGCATTTCCTGGAGGATGAAGGAATTGATACCATTGAATGGCCCTCATGCTCGCCTGACCTACAGTTGCAAGAAAAAGTATGTGAACCCCTTGGGATTATGTGGAGTTTTGTATGAATTGGGCATAAAATGTGCTCTGAACGTCATCTAAGTCACAATAGAAGAACACAGTCTGCTGAACATAATACTACACAAACATTAGTTGTTGCCATGGTTTAATTGCACATGTAAACATTCACAGTGCAGGGAGGAAAAAGTATGTGAGGCCCTAGCTTAATGACTTCTCCCAGAGCTAATTGGAGCCAGGAGTGAGCCAACCTTGACTCCAATCAGTGTGATGATATTGGATGTGTTGCTGACAGCTGTCCTGCTCTTAAAAACACACACCTGTTTTGGGATTACTGGTTTCAAGAAGCACTGTCTGATGTGAACCATGCCTCGCAGAGAAGAGCTCTCAGAAGACCTACGATCAAGAATTGTTGACTTGCATGAAGCTGGAAAGGGTTACAAAAGTATCTCCAAAAGCCTTGATGTTCATGTGTCCACGATAAGACAGACTGTCTACAAATGGAGAAAGTTTAGCACTGTTGCTACTCTCCCTAGGCATGGTCGTCCTGTAAAAATGACTGCAAGAGCACAGCGCAGAATGCTGCATGAGGTAAAGAAGAATCCCAGAGTGTCAGCTAAAGACCTACAGAAATCTCTGGCACATGCTAACATTTTTGTTGACACATCTACAATAAGGAAAACATTAAACAAGAATGGAGTACATGGGAGGACACCACTGAGGAAGCCATTGCTGTCCAAAAAAGAATATTGCAGCACATTTGCAGTTTGCAAAAGATCACCTGGATGTTCCACAGCACTACTGGCAAAATATACTGTGGACAGATGAAACCAAGATTGAGTTGTTTGGGAAGAACACACAACACTATGTGTGGAGAAAAAAAGGCACAGCACACCAACATCAAAACCTCATCCCCACTGTAAAACATGGCGGAGGGAGCATCATGGTTTGGGGCTGCTTTGCTGCCTCAGGGCCTGGATGGATTGTTGTCATTCATGGGAAAATGAATTCCAGAGTCCTGACCTCAACCCGATTGAAATGCTGTGGCATGACCTTAAGAGAGCGATTCACACCAGACATCCCAAGAATATTGCTACACTGAAACAGTTTTGTGAAGAGGAGTGGTCCAAAATTACTCCAGATCGTTGTGCAGGTCTGATCTGCAACTACAGGAAACATTTTGTTGAGGTAATTGCTGCCAAAGGAGGGTCAACCAGTTATTAAGTCCAAAGGTTCACATACTTTTTCCTCCCTGCACTGTGAATGTTTACATGTTATGTGCAATTAAACCATGGCAACATCTAATGTTTGTGTAGTATTATGTTCAGCAGACTGTGTTCTTCTATTGTTGTGACTTAGATGACATTCAGAGCACATTTTATGCCCAATTCATGCAAAACTCCACGTAATCCCAAGGGGTTCACATACTTTTTCTTGCAACTGTAAATCCAATAGAACATTTCTGTCATGTTTCAGTCCGCCGACGCCACCAGGCTGCGCCTCAGACTTTCCAGGAGCTCAGTGATGCCCTGGTCCTCACCTGGAAGGAAATACCCCAGGGCACCATTTGACTTGTCATTAGAAACATGTCCCGACATTGTCAGGCATGCATACAAGCACGTGGAGGTCATACAAACTACTGAGTACCATTTTGAGTTACTGCAATGAGATTTCAGCAAAATGGGCTAGCTTGCTGCATCATTTTTTCACTTTGATTTCACAGGTTTGCAAAAAAATTTTTTTTCAAGAGCTGTTTTGCTTATTCCACATAATCTTTATGTTTTTTGGTGCGCTGAATCGGAAAATGACCTCCATTTTGTCATAGGACATCACGTTTCCTCACAATTTAGGTAACTGTTAAATAAGGCAATACCTCAAAATAAATGGAAATAGACTTATAAAATTAAAGTTTTATTACAATTTTTTTCAAGAAAATCCTTTTTTGAACTGAAATGAGCTCACCTACACACACTAAACTCGATTCTTCTTCCCTGTGAGGCTCCTCTTGGTGCATTTACGCTTGTGAGTAGCATCTGGAATGTCTCTCTGAAGCATCCAACAGTAGTCTGCCATCATTGTAATGCTCCATTTTCCCTGGTATCTCCTTTCCATCTCTTTAATGTCTTGGTGGAATCGTTCACCTTGTTCCTCACCCACAGCTCCCAAATTTTCAGGAAAGTAGTCAAGGTGGGACTGGAGGAAATGCACTGTCAAACTCATCAGGCAACCTAAAGCTTAAAATGCTTTCAGCATTCGTCCGATGATCTTTTTGTAGTGAGGATCTTTGTTATTGTCTAAAAATTTCTGTAAAACTTCTTTAAATGCAATCCACCCTTCTTTTTGAGGATCCATCATGGTATTGACAAACTCTTGATCAACTATAAGCCTTCTAATGTCTGGTCCGACGAACACACCTTCCTTCAATTTTGCCTCTGACAGGTCTGGAAACTTGGTGACCAAGTATTTGAAGCATTCTCCATCTCTTGGAAGTGATTTTACAAATTGCTTGATCAATCCCAATTTTATGTGGAGAGGTGGTAGAAGAACTTTATGGGAAGGTAGCAAAGTTTCTCAGAGGACATTTTTTTCACCGACTGTTAGCTCCCTCGGCTGCCAACTCTTCTTGGTCCAGTGATTTTGTAGGTCTCGACTGTCCCATAGACACAGAAAACAAGGGTATTTGGTATCCCACCCACTGGATTCTTCAGGAAAGATTAACCCCTTCTACCATTAGAAGCACAGACTCAGGGCTGAGGCTTACACATACAGCATGCTGCTGAGTATCCCAGTAGTCAGACATGTCACTCAGAGCAGCACTTGTATTCACCCCCTTTGCAGGGGGGGAGGGGCAGAGATTGTTTACCTGCAAATAACAACAAAGGGCCAGAAGAGAACTAGGGAAATGAGGAAATAGAATTTTTTTTTACCTAAAACTTGCTTAGCTTATGTATATATTGCTGACCATCAGATTTACAGTGCTATTTTTTTTTTACATAACTCGGACAACCCCTTTAAGGTTTTTTTTGGCATTTTATATCTTAAATGCACTTATGTGAATTCATTAATAGTAATTTGGACTTTAAATTTGGTTAAAAACCCATAATATAAAAAAAAAATACCAAAAATTAAAAACATTTGATAAATTTGAAGACAATTTTGCATTTTGTGGCAAATCATGACATCTAGGAGTTTTTTCAATATTTTATTTGTTTTCAGCACACCAAAATACATGGAAATTAGATGAAAATAATCAAACAGCTTTTTAGTCGCAGACCTGTGTTATCAGTGTGTCTTTGAATTCAGTCCTCCATAGGTTGATAATTTTAATTTCCATCAAACGGAAGGGCATCCTTACGTTCCTAACACATTACCCATTCCATATCAGTCTAGATATCCAGAATGATAGTGTTCCTTTAATTTTTTTGAGCAGTGTATATTCCGAGAGTAAGACCCTGTTGCTGTCAGAATAAACAGATCGGTGCTGCAACTGAATTCCTGCAAAGAAAACAGCAATGGTTAGCAATAAAACAGTAACAATAAAACAGTAACTCAACAACAATAAAACAACTATTTCTGTTTTTTTTATTTTTAATTTTTTTAAATTTGGATGGTCGTGTCTGCGTGAATGGAAAACAGGACGAAAACATTCCTTTTGTCCTTCCACTTCACTGCGAGCAATTGAACATTTTTCAAGCAGGCTTTTTACAAGTCTTACAGACACATAGTGCAGTACATAGGGTAGTGGTAGATAGAGAGGGAAGCAGGAGAGACGAAGATGGGGGAGGGAGTCTGAGGAAAAAATAAGGCTGGGTGGGCAGGGCAGACTACCCGGTAAAGACACAGTTCCAGAAGGATCTAATGGGGTCCCCCATTAAGCTGGTGGAGGAGAGAGTCCAGGCAGAAGTACAGTGCAAGGTGGCAATGCAAATGGCATTATATTGCAAGCCATAAAGCATGAAGACAGCAAGAACAACACAGCGGACTTTCAAGGACCCGTGGTGTTCTAAAAAAATTCAGCTGAGCTTGAATCGGCTGGCTCCGGAACTGCATGTGCACAGTGTTAAATGGCAGAGGATTTTTTTTACTGCCATTTTCCTGTACATGGACTTTCATAAACAGAGGAAAATCATCACTTTTTTTTTTTTTTTTTTTTTTACAAACTGTCTGTAAATTAACAGACAGATGGAAACCCCCTGGGTCTAGGGCAGTGGAACTAAATAGGGCCACTGCCGATCAATTGTGTGTGCCCTGTGGTTGCTTTCATTATGTAGCCAGGTGTTTAGCTAAGAATGGAGAGTGAGAGAAAAACTGGCTGCAGCTGCTCTCTGTAGCCCTGCAGTGCTCAACTGGTTAGCAGCTATATCAGCAAGGGGAGGGAGCTGTTGATCAGGAAGAGCTCAATAGTCTGAGTCAGCACTGCATTGTGGGAACTGTAGACCAGAGGTGAGAGACTCTACTGTAATCAAGAGCTTTTGAACTGCATTTCCGAAAGGGAGATTGCCGGGAGGAGAGGAAGAAGCGGCTATATTCTTTCTATTTTATTCTATTCTTTTATCTCTAATATCTCTACATGAAAACCCCCTTCATGTATCATGTTTCATGGGCCCTGGGTGGATGGTGGGATTTTTTGCGCTTCTCTCCAAACCATGTGCAAACCACAGGCCTATGCATGAGTACTCCAGGCGTGAACGGGTTCATGTGTCCAGTGACTGGGAGGATGTGGAGAAGAGGTTTATGACTGACATTCATGCATGTGAACAGTATGTTGGTTTGGACTGAATGTGAGTGTGATTCCCCGCAACCCTGTATGTGCAGGTGGAGCCAAGCTGCATATGTATTGGCCACATGGAAGTAAATTGGGGTCCCCTTTGCAAAAAAATCTGTCAGAGTATAAATGTAAATTATAAGCTGTTCTACCCCAGCCAATGAATGCAGAGTATTCAGGTTCAGTAGTCTATAAATAAACCAAAAATATATTTTTATTTTATGGAATTATATAATTGTTAGTGCTCCTCTGCACAATCACTCTATAAATGTAATACAAACTATTTTTGTATTGGGTGGGGTAAAAGAACTGCACCCCGCCCACTTATGGGACCATTGCAGATCCAAAAGTATAAATACATTTTGACTGTTTTGGAGTCAATTTGCATACTAGCCTGTACTTGACTGTTTGAAGGTCACATGTTGTTGATACCAGTCCTGTTATGATCCGTACCTAGTTAAAACAAAAGAAACTGCATGTTAGATCTGTCAGTTGGCGCTGGACATCAAGAAGAACAGAGTTTCCCGCGATCCCTCCCTTTGTTGCGGCTCCTTTTTATGTGGTCTTCGTCTCTTTCCTTTGAAGTGGGACAATGTTTACTGTAACAGTTTATTATAACTCGAGCTGTATGGATGAGTTACAGTTAGTTATATAACTTAAATATAATAATATGATCTATATTTCATGTTATGTGTAATATTTTTGTAATTTTTGGTTGAATTTTACACCAAAATTAAAGGGCCTCGGCCATTTCAAACCAATAGACCAATTGTGTGGAGTATCATTAAAATGTTTTTGGTTGCTTTGTGAAAAGTTTCTGCATACGGTCCCATTAGAATTTCAAATATCTTAGCACTTTTTAGCTGAAAATATAGGAGTACAGAATTAATATCAAAGTGCTGGTCATGATTAGTGATGTTATCACTCATGTTCAGCTATCACCTGTACTGGGGCAAGCTCACACTAGCCAGAATGACCAGAAGTTCTGAAGGCAATATATCTACTCACAGATAGGGGGTGCAAAGGAGGTCTGATCACAATGCATGTTCCTGTGCATGTGACATCAGAAAATACTCCCTGTTGGGGACCCCTTTCTGGCCTAGGGACCCCATAGCAGCAGCATGGGCTGCTATATCTATGTCACAGACTAAAATCTGTCATGACATTATTTATATTCTAGTTTGAAATTTAAGAACATTCGCTCTATCGATGTATTGTAGACCTAGATTCAGGTGTCTTACTTTAGTAACATGTAATTTAGTGAAATTTAGTAAAAGTGGTTCAAAGTGTACCTAACCCACAACAGTAAAATCAGTCTGTATATGCAGTAAGGCATGCTTGTTATACTCACTGTGGTACCTAAGGGGTTAATCCTCCACAGTGTGTAAAAAGGCTGTTTGATCCTGTCTTCTCTGATCCTCACCTTCTTCCAGTGTGTCCTAAATATCTCCTGATAGAACAGAGGCATTGGGGCATGCTGCACATGCTCAGTTTAGTGTGTATTGCTAGAGAGTTTTTTTTTTCTAGGGAGAGTGCATGTGATCAGCACAGGACTGATCAGCACTGTCCAGACAGTGGGTCAGGGGTCCTGCATTATCCTACAGGAGAATTAAAACTCCTCCTACGAGCTGTAACTAGTGCTCTGCTGGATACTGATAAAAGTCACAAGACTGCTCTAACTGTTGAGTTATCAGCTCATAAGATTTCAGACTGGATAAACAGCTATATTATTTTTTTTAACTTGCCAGACTGATATAAAACATGGTATATTTAAAGTGTTACTAAACTCACAACAGTAAAATCAGTCTGTATATGCAGTAAAGCATGATTGTTATACTCACTGTGGAACCAAAGGGGTAAATCCTCTTTATTGTGTAAAAAGGATGTTTGATCCTGTCTTCTCTAATCCTCCCTTTCTTCTACTGTCCCCAATCCATCCGCTGATAGAACAGCCTTGGGTGCAAGCTGCACATGTTCAGCTTGGTGTGTATTGCTAGGGAGTTTTTTTTTTTTCTTGGTAGAGTGCATGTCATCAGCACAGGGCCAATCAGCACTGTCCAGACAGAGGGTCTGCAGCCTCATAGGACAATCAGGGGAGAATGAAAAGGTATTTATCAATTTATATTTACTAAAATAATTGCATTTCCATGTTCTGATTACTGTGGGAGACCAGATATAGTGAATGTAGGGTCCTGGGTTTAGTAACACTTTAAGGGTTTTTACTTTAATGAATTCTGAGCATTAAGGTAAAAAACCTTCTGTGACACAAGATCACCCCCAGCCTCTTCATACTTACCTGAGCCTGATCTTGATCCAGCGCTGTGCCCTAGAGTAGCATCTCTCTCCATTCACTCCCTGCTCTTGGGGCAGACTGATAGTAGCGGGAGACATTTGCTCCTGCTGCTGTCAATCAAATCTTGTGATGATGGAGCGGGGGGCGGGACCGAGCCACGCTGTCTGTGGCAAGGCAGTGTGACTCAGGATTGAGCCCACACATGTGCCCCCATAGAAAGCAGATTGCTATAAGGGCACTTGCAGAAGAGGAGGAGCCAGGAGTTTTTCTGTGCAAAACCATTGCACAGAACAGGTATTATTAAAAAAAAAAACAAAAAGGGTAACAATCCCTTTAAGCATCTTTAAGTGGGCTCAGCTGGTTTGGCTTGAAATTCAAAGTGCACTGTGCTACAGGTTAAATGACCTGTTATGCACAAAAATCCTTCAGTCTGCTTTGAGAATTTCTGGAGTTGTCTGAAAACTATTTAGAGGACTTTGAACAATTTGTTTTAAAAGAAGCTATTTTTTCTATACACTGGATACACAAGAAACAATCTAACAGACATCTCAAGACAGGATCGGAAAACATGACATCTTTTGATGATGTTTTGAAGGAAATTGGACAGTTTGGCTCATTTCAGAAGCAACTGTTTTTTCTTATGTGCTTTATCTCTGTTGTGTTCAGCCCAATAGATGTGGGAATTGTATTTCTGGGATTTGTACCTGACTTCAGATGTCGTAATCCTGCCGCTGAGGAATTAGGTAGGATATGTGGTTGGAATGCTGAAGAGGAAATGAATTACACTGCTGTCCTTCCAGATGACTCTGTGGATGCTCTGTACTTTAGCCAGTGTCTTCAGTATGGCACAGACTGGAACTGGACATCCCTGTCTTGTACAGATCCAATGAGGAATCTAACCTCATATAGTAATAACAACGTTACCAGCTGTACCAATGGTTGGGTGTATGATACTACAGGATCATCAATAGTAACAGAGGTAAGAGGTTTTGATTCAATAGTAACTTCCAGAGCTTTTTTTTCTCAGATAATAGGTGCAGGTACTCCCCCCTTCGAGTCACCTGTTATCCCTGCCCCCACCCGCTTCCAAACACCATTCCTTGGTTCCTCCCCCTACCAACCTCCCTGTATTGCCCCTTTTAGATAATACAGAACCAAGTATAATATTGTGGTGGATGTAGTATTGATAACAAGAAAAGCAGTAAAATAGATCCTCTGCTGCTAGCAACAATAAATCCCCCTACAGCGATAATAGACCCTCCGACAACAAATACCCCAAGAAACGATAGGTACCTCTCACCGGCAACAATAGACCCCCCACAACTATAGATCTGCCAGCAAATATAGACACCCTTCAGCAACAATAGATCTCTGAGCCATTAGCAATAATAGACCCTTTTAGCAAACAGCAACAATAGACACCATCCCATTATCCCTCCTAGCAACACCTGACACCCACAGCAACAACAGATCTCCCTAGCAACAATAGATACCCGGTAACAATATAGACACCCTTCAGCAACAATAGATCTCTGAGCCATCAGTATTAATAGACCCTTTTAGCAAACAGCAACAATAGACACCATCCCATTAGCCCTCCTAGCAACACCTGACACACACAGCAACAACAGACCTCCCTAGCAACAATAGATCCCCCGGCAACAATAGACACCCTTCAGCAACAATAGATCTCTGAGCCATCAGTATTAATAGACCCTTTTAGCAAACAGCAACAATAGACACCCTTCCATTATCCCTCCTAGCAACACCTGACACCCACAGCAACAAAAGACCTCCCTAGCAAACAATAGATACCCGGCAACAATAGACACCCTTCAGCAACAATAGATCTCTGAGCCATCAGTATTAATAGACCCTTTTAGCAAACAGCAACAATAGACACCCTTCCATTATCCCTCCTAGCAACACCTGACACCCACAGCAACAAAAGACCTCCCTAGCAACAATAGATACCCGGCAACAATAGACACCCTTCAGCAACAATAGATCTTTGAGCCATCAGTTTTAATAAACCCTTTTAGCAAACAGCAACAATAGACACCCTCCCATTATCCCTCCTAGCAACACCTGACACCCACAGCAACAACAGACCTCCCTAGCAACAATAGATCCCCGGCAACAATAGACACCCTTCAGCAACAATAGATCTCTGAGCCATCAGTATTAATAGACCCTTTTAGCAAACAGAAACAATAGACACCCTCCCATTATCCCTCCTAGCAACACCTGACACACACAGCAACAGATCAGCCACAACAGACCTCTCTTTAGCAAACAGCAACAATAGACACCCTCAACAATAGACACCCCTCCCCTGACACCCACAGCAACAACAGACCTCTCTAGCAACAATAGATCCCCTGGCAACAATAGGCACCCTTCAGCAACAATAGATCTCTGAGCCATCAGTATTAATAGACCCTTTTAGCAAACAGCAACAATAGACACCCTCTAATTATCCCTCCTAGCAACACCTGACACCCACAGCAACAAAAGACCTCCCTAGCAACAATAGATACCCCGGCAACAATAGACACCCTTCAGCAACAATAGATCTATGAGCAGTCAGTATTAATAGACCCTTTTAGCAAACAGCAACAATAGACACCATCCCACTATCCCTCCCAGTAACACTTGACACCCACAGCAACAAAAGACCTCCCTAGCAACAACAGATACCCCAGCAGCTAGTAATAATAGACCCTTCAGCACCATTACCTACATTCAGTACTGGAGGTGCCGGAACTGCGTTCCCCCGCGTTCCTGCTGAAAAAAAGCCCTGGTAACTTGAAAATATTTTTTCTAGGACACGCAAGTCCTAACACAAATAGTGCAAACAAGTGTTTCAAAGAGGGATGAGCTACACATACCTGGGCTTGGCTTGAGGCAGGTTCACGGAACACAAGTAAATTTTGGGTGCCAAATTTGAACCCTACTGAAGTCAATAGGAGCTAAATGTTAAAAAGTAATTGAGGCTAAAAAGCAAGAAATGGTCAAACAAGTGGCATTGGGGGCTGGCAGCTGCCCTGCAAAATGTGTACCAAAGCAAATTTTTTTTTTCTATTCTGTTCAGTGAGGAGCAGTTATTTAAGAGCAACATTAAACATTAAAGTAGAACTATAAGCAATGTTTATTTACATTTTGAAAACAGTAAGGGAGGGTTATAACCCCTGTCATCTGTGTCCCATTGGGGAGATTTACCTTCCCTTTCTGTCCCATAGCCAAACAGGAAGTGAGAGGAAATTCCTTTGGAAGATTTTCTGTCTATTACTTTTCTGGGGACAACTCCAAATTTGGGGTTTTCTTTTACTTTCACTTTTAATAAAAATGGTAAACAGGACAAATAGAGAGGGTGAATCTCCTTAAACACTTGCCCTCCTTGAGGATTTACCCCCTTTCATGATCAGGCTATTTTTTGTGTTATTTTAACTGACAATTGAGCGGTCATGCTGCGCCCAAATTAAATTTATGTTGTTTTTCTTTCGGTGGTATTTGATCGCCTGTGCATTTTTTTTTTTTTTTGTGCTATAAAAAGAAAAAGACAGACAATTTTGAGTAAAAAAACAATATTTTTGACTTTTTGCTATTAAACATGTCCAGTAAAAAAAATTTAAGAATCAAATTTTGTCATAAATTTAAGCCAAAATGTATTCTACTACATGTCTTTGCTGAAAAAAAAAATCCCAATTTGTAAATTAATTGCTTTACGTGAAATTTATAGTGTTTACAAATGGCGGTGTATATATATACTGGGATTTTGTATTTTTATTAGTAATGGCTGTAATCAGCGACTTATAGCGGGACTGTGGGACTGCGGTGGGCATTCTGACACTGGGGGGAACTGACTTGGTGTCTCTGACATCCCCAGTGACACCAACACAGTGATCAGTGCTAATAAAAAGCACTGACACTGTACTAATGGCACTGGGCAGGAAGGGGTTAACATGTGGGATGATCAAAGGGCTAACTGTGTGTTGTGTGCTGTATTACACTGTGTGGCTGTGTTTTGTGCTTCACTGTAAGCACACTGCTTTGCATGGCTGTGCAAACCAGTGCGCATGGGCTGACAGAGGAGAGAAATGTATTGTTTACTTACAGTTCTCTCCCTCCATAGGTAAAGCTCCTTGATCACTGGGTGCCGACGCGTAATCACAGGCCAGGACCCGGTGATTGACAGCCGAGGCCTTCAAATTGCGGCGCGCATGCCTCTCTCATGCACCCCCTACTCAGAAGTGCAAAATCATGTGTGTGTATATATATATATATATATATATATATATATGTGACTTTGCTCACCTGTGCTGCCCTGTAGCAGTACTTCTGCTATAGGGTGGATGGGTAGTGGTTAACGGGGCACAGATATCAATAAGAATTTAATAGTTGTTCTAATCCATCTCCACTATATCCAAAACCATAAGAAACGTTTTGCCTTTAGTTATACTTTAGGGCCTCTTGCAAACTGCTGCCAAATACTGAGCTTCTTCAGGCATATAGACGTTCTTTTTTACTGATCTAAATTCAGCACATAGTTTACAATGTGCCTGTACACACAGGCATGTAAAATGTGTTCGTACAGATGAATAAAATATAATGAAATCTGAGTTGCTGGTCATTATTTTATGTGTATAGACACATATTCACTCAAATATGTGCCTTCACAGATTTTGTCAATTCGAAGAGGTTAGAATTCATTTTACTCATGTTTGCGTGTACGTGTAAATACGCACGAATACTAGCAAAATAAATGCCTGAAATTTCAGCCAGGACTGCTGATGTTCAAACATCAGTATTGTGTGCAAGAACCCCAAGAATGTGGAATTCCTTTAAATATTATGCCCGAGGGATGCCCTTAAAGCGGAGTTTCATTCATGCTGTCAAAAAATAAAAGTTAGCAGCTACAAAAACTGTAGCTGCTGACTTTTAAAAAACACACACTCACCTGTCCCTCGGTCCCGCGGTGTGTCACCTGCAGCCCGTTTTACCGGCCGTCTTCTCTCCCTGGGCGCCGGCATCTTCAGTGTGGGCACTCGGCTGTGACATCTTGCGGCTTCACAGCTGGGTACCCACTTCGCATGCGCAAGTAGGACTGGTCCTGTAGTCTTCTGGGACGTGTGTTCCAAAAGACTACAGGGAAGGAGGACACCTTCCACTTCTGATCGCCTAGGCGAGCGGAGCGGAAGTGGGAGTGGGTACCTGTCAAATTTGGGTACCCGCTCCCCCCTGCCCCCCAAAGGTGCCAATCCTTAATGGGGAGCGGGGGGGGGAGCAGTCTTTGAAGCAAAACTTCCCCTTTTCAGTGGAGCTCCACTTTAACTTGCCTATGAAGTGGCACACCTGTATGATATATACAGTACAACCCAGTGGTGTATTTAGGTTTTGTGCTGCCCTAGGCAATGCGAAAACCGTATACGCACATGGACACCGACCAACACAACCCCCCCTTCCCCCTCCTGCAGATATAGAATGACAATGAACAACAACGAACCTTCCACTACCTCCCCGGCGATAGAAAGACACTCACCTTCATGGCTCTGGACATCCCCGGGAGCGAGAGCCAGGCTCTACATACACCATCAAACAGACTGCAGCCTCTCTTGGATCCTACCTGGTTCCCATGGTGCACATGTACCTTCTTTCATCCCTTCTTCTAGGAGGAGGTGCTGCCCCCCTCAAAAATGCCGCCCTAGGCAAGTGCCTTGTTTGCCTTGTGGTAAATACACCCCTGGTACAACCTACCTACTGACATTTACAAAGAAAAAAATATACTGTTTCAATTGCTGGTAAGTTATGTCTTTCGGACCCTTATTTTTTCTTGTAAACAAATTGCAGATGATTTCCTTCATCTATAATTTCACCATAATGTGTTGCGCTCCTGTTAATTAATATCTCTTCAATACTTCTAATCCCTTATTTATACCCAAAATTAATAATCATGTATAAACAAATAATCTAATACGCAAAAATATTTAAACACATGTGCATACCATTAACCAAAAATTCATATATAATAATCACTTAATAAAAAATATTCTAATAAAAACCTCAATAATTCATAATAATAATACGTATCCGTGATTATAAAATTAATTATTAAACCAATTGTACACCATTAATATTGAAAAAATGAAAAATGTCAAAAAAATATATAAATACTCATATATAATTATTTAATAATGTGCAAAAACAGTGTCCCATTAATCATAAAAATAGTGACTCTGTACTTTATTTAATCTTCAATCCGTGACTGTTTGTGAATCCGTGACTGTTTGTGAATCCTCCAATTAGTGCAGATGTAAGCTCACCTCCTTATCTTCCTACAATTAGGCTATATGCGCTTTTGGTTCACCTCCTTTGGAACCTGCTTGATTAAGATTTCTCCTTTTTAGATTGTGGAGTAAGGATATCCTTTATCACTGATTATCCCCTCTGGGATTAATCCCTCCTCACGATGATACAAGCCCCTTATACTCTCCTCTACACATATAGGGAAAAATTACCAGACATAGTGTTTTATCCTTTTAAAATACTGCTTTATTCCTTCCAAGTAGTACACTCACATTTACTGCATTCAATATAAGGCAATTTGTATGTAACGAATCCTCCGCCGACCGTTGAGTCATGCACCCGCCGTCTGTCAAACAATCCGGCTATCTCCGAGTGACGTTGCAGCCCCACCCCTACGCGTTACGCCACTGGTCACGTGGCTTCATCAGGGGGTTTTGATAGGATAGTCACTCTCCCATTGCCGGCTTATATAGCTCGGCTCCGCCATTTTGTTGTATATCTACAGGGGGCAGCCATGTTTTTGGGGGCAATTTCGTTACATTAACACTTTTTCCAATTGATACATTTTGTTGCACTTACTGCATTACTTCACCCAGAGAAATACATTGTAACATGACTCTGCGGCTTGCCAGGATTCAAACGTTCTCCTTATATATTATGCTCACAATACAAATTTATTCTTTATAATTAAAAGCGATCATATTTTTAAATTATACAAACCATCATGCATAAAACATATATAGATATATGTGTATATAAACACATACCTCTGTATATATATAAAAATTGTAATATATTAAAATATGCAAATCAATAATTATACACCAATAATAAAAAAATATATATAAATAATACAAAAATTTTTTTTTAAAAAATAAAATAAAAATCTCCTACAAGGAATATCTTTAATTAATATACCCAAAAAAAAATTTTTTGGACAAAAAATAAAAAATCTCCCACATAAATTCATTAGTAGTTTGCACATCTAGTATATAAACATAGAAATTACCTATACCCATAATCCAAATGTGTTACTTCTATACTTATAAAACTCGGCATCAAAGCCCTCCACTATCATATGTACTACCTTCATTATAGTATCACTAAAGATACGCGATATATTAGACATATTAATACAATCTCATCAATGTATATCTGTGGTGAATGAGAGAAGAGTTATCCCCACTGTTTATCTCTAATACTCCTCTCACATTCACCACATCAAGATACAAAACCTCCTAGGCCAGGGTGAAAACTACATATATGGATATTACCATCATATATTGTTCTTGCATCTAAACATCACTAATGAAGCAAGATAAATCAAATTCCTTGTTTAAACCCCCTGGTGCTAAACTTCCCAACTCATAGATCCAGAATGATTCTTTTTTACTTATTTCACGCACTAAATTATCTCCCCTCCAATGTGAGTTATGTTTAGTAATACCCCAGAATTCTATTTTCTCTATGTCTTGATTGTGATATAGTTTAAAATGTACTGATAAATGATGATATTTGTAGCCTATACTGATATTGTGTATATGTTCTTTTACACGTTCTTTGAGACTTCTCTTTGTACGTCCTATATATAAATGATTACATGGGCATTTTAGGGCGTACACTACACCCCTACTGTCACATGAAATGAATTGATCGATCTCATATTGTTTCCCATTCTTTGGATTCATAAATAATTGTCTACATCTTGGATTCCCATGCGTTCTTCTACAACTATAGCAACGACCACATTTGTAAAACGCTGTCCCATTGAAAAAACTTAAAGTGCTAGTCAATATGTGGGGAGGTTCTAACACATTTTTTACTACTCGATCACGAATATTAGGTGCCCTTTTATAAATGAACCTAGGTTTATCTTTAACAATAGTCTTAAGGGTCTTATCTAGTTTCAGTATATTCCAATGTTTAGATATAATTTTCTGTATATCCCTGATACAGCTGATCACATGTCAACACGGAAATGCTGGTTATCGGCATTTTTCTCCTCTCGAGCTGTCACGCTGACAGCTCGAGAGGAGAGGAGAGCCGGTAATCGACATGTACACTGATCATCAGGGCACTGATGATCAGTGTGGCCCCAGAAGTGCCACCTGTCAGTGTCCATCAGTGCTAGCAGTCAGTGCTCATCAGTGCCACGTGCCAGTGCCCATCAGTGACACATCAATGCCACATATCAGTGCATACCAGTGCACATCAATGCCACATATCAGTGCCCATCTGAGCTGCCTTTCAATGTCACCCATCAGTGCCACCTATCAATGCCAATCAGTGCCACCTATCAGTGCTGCCAATCAGTGCCACCTATCAGTGCCAGTCAGTGTCGCCTATCAGTGCGCATCAATGCTGCCTATCAGTGCCAGTCAGTGCCGCCTAACAGTGACAGTCAGTGCCACCTATCAGTGCCAGTCAGTGATGCCTATCAGTGCCATATATCAGTGTCATGTATCAGTGCTGCCTTTCAGTGCCCATCAGTGATGCCTGTCATTGCCCATCAGTGCAATTTACCAGTGCCTCCTCATCAGTGCCCATCAGTGCCACCTATCAGTGTCCATCAGTGCAGCCTATCAATGCCCATCACTGCAGCCTCATTAGCGCACATCAGTGAATGAGAAAAATCACTTATTTACAAAATTGTATAAACAAAAACTAAGAAAAACGTTTTTTTTTTTAATTTTCAGTGGTTTTTGGTTTTGTTTAAGAAAAAATAACAAGAGGTGATTAAATACCACCAAAAGAAAGCTCTATCTGTCTCAAAAAAATGATAAAAATTTCATATGGGTACAGTGTTGCATGACCGCGCAATTGTCATTTAAAGCGTGACAGCGCTGAAAGCTGGAAATTGGCCTGGGCAAGAAGGGGGTATAGGTGCCCTGTAAGCTAGTGGTTAAGGACTGACATGTCACTTGTTAGCAGTTGCTCACCACATCCAAGAAGTCTCCAGGGGTTAACTCCTTGAAGGGATGATGACTGGGGCTCTGTCTCTCTGGAAGTTTTTTCCTGTTGTCAATTGTCGATACTGCTCAATCTCTGAGGTGCCTCACCTGGGATGGTCACATGCCTCATCTGCGATTTCCAACACTCTGACCTCTCTCTCTGTGGTGGGAGATGTCGTTGCTGTCGGTAACTGCCGTCACGAGTGACTGGTACCAATGATCACAGTTGCTGCTGACTTCAGCTGCTGTAGATAGCCATTGTCCTTAGAAACCTCTGCTTTTCTGGAAACAGTGTCAGTGTACTTCAACAGTAGGGGCTGCAGACCAGCTCCCACATGTCCTCTGCAAAGGCACACGTGGCTCTCCTTCCCCTCCTCCTTGCAAGTCATCCTGGTCTTGTAGTCCTGTGCAGTATAAAGTTACATTGTCTGCCTCTGAGATGAAACTGCAACTCCCACAAACACTCCAGTACTGCTGAGAGCTGAGCCAATCAAACCCTTTCTGACAACATGCAATCTTAAAAGGGAAACAGCAATGGCCCTGCTACACTAGGTAGCAACCTGTTTTGATTACAAGTGTGGTGTTACCTTAAGCTGGACTCTGCATTGGGACATCAGCACATGGGATATATCCTACTAGCTGTAAGTTATGTCCCTTGTGTGGATTTCACTGTTTTTTTTATTTTGGTTGTACTTTAAAGGCTTGGATTGATGAATATATTAAAGTTTAAAATCTTGTTCCTGGACTTTTTGCAACTCTCCTTTTGTGTCTTTAAAGCATATCTAAACCTAACGATTACCTTCTCTTATTTGGTCCCTTTTGTTCTGTTAAGTGTACCACTGAATGCATTTTATTACGATTAATAAGGTTGAAAACCTATTGATCCTGTGAAAAATATTTTTAGTTGATACCTTGCTGTCTGAAAGGGCACTCCTTCTCCTTTCCTTCTCCCATTGAGAAAGGTTATTTAATTGATTACACTGCTTGTAACACAACATTTGTACTGGGGGGGAGTGATCTGATCAGCCACAGCACTCGCTCCACTTCGTTACAGGCAGTATAATCAATGAAAAAAATGTTCTCAATTGAACGGGCAAGAGGTGATGTGTCCCTCTCGGACAATGTATCCTACTGTTCTGCCAGAAGACCCAACTTCTTCAGGATTCAGCTGCCTGCACAAAGTTACCCTCTTTCATTAGAGGTAAGTGATATGACTAACACAAGAGGGATATTTTTTTTTTAGCTAAACATCAGATTTAAAGGCATGAGCTCTAGTGTCACTATCTTCTGTGTAGTCCAAATGAATATTTAATGGCTGGCAGTTGAATCAGATCCAACTTACCTGTCCTGCTACAAAAAGGTAAAAAAAAAAAAGTAATTTCCTGTTTTATTTGCCCTGGAAATATAAAGGACTAGTTGTTACTAGTTACAAATAATAAAGCAGTTATGGTGGACACCTCATAGCAGCCAATTACATTTTCAGTGGAATAGACAGGGCACATTTCTGAACATTATAATTATTACTCCAACTGCTATTAGAGATCAATAGGCTATAGGCTGCAATAAAACTAATCAAGTCTTTTCTTTATTCAGTTTAATCTTGTGTGCGATGACTCGTGGAAACTGGACCTTTCCCAGTCAGTTGTGAATTTTGGATTCTGCCTTGGCTCTTTGTTTATCGGATACCTTGCAGACAGGTAGAGGTCTATGTGCCAAGACATCTGTTAAATATAATGTGAAAACAATACATCTCTTTTATATTTTAGTTCTTACTATAAGGCTTGGTTCACACATATGCGTTTTTCAGTGCTTTTTGCATTTTGCAGAAACTCACTACAGTCCATTTAACATGGTTTCCTATGGGACACGTTCATATCTATGCATTTTCAGCGTTGTGTTTTGGGATAAGGTCAGATTGCAACATGCATAGGTGTGAGCCAGGCCTAACTGTTTTTGTTTTCTTCTGTCCTCTAGAGAAGTTACCTCCATTAATAACTCTAATCTGTGTCTGCAGATTTGGTCGCAAACCATGTCTTTTAGTTTCTCTCCTGGTCACTGCTATTTTTTGGTGTCCTTGTGGCATTTGCTCCAACGTATCCGTGGCTGGTTACCTTCCGCTTTATTCAAGGCTTAGTCAGCAAAGGCAGTTGGTCATCAGGATATATATTGGGTAAGTTATATTATGTAAATATAGATCTGTTGTTTTGTAGCAGATATAATGCTATGAAGGAGGGAAGGGCTTATTTTTGTATCAGTAATTAATTGCTAGGCCCAGTTTTTTAAAGTGTGAAAGTAAGTAGAATGCAGATGACAGAAGTTAAAGTGGAATTCCATTCATTTCCTAACGCTAAACATACTCCCACCCCCATTCTAAAGCTATTCTATCTAACCCTGTAAAGAAAAAATCACTATACTTACCTATACTGAAGCTGCTTCAGTCTGGTCTCCAGCGGTGGCTTCTGTGCAGGAGAGAAAGCAGACAATGGCTGGGAAATGTCTAGGAGATGATGTCACCCATAGACTTACTATGGAGCATCCGTTGTTGACTGCCTATCCTGCACATAGAAGCTGCTGCTGACAGCTCAGCCTGGGACTGGACTGCTTCAGTATAGGTAAGTATAAAGATCTTTTAGAATAGAATAGAATAGCTTTAGGATGGGGGTAGGAGTAGGTTTAGTGTTAGTTAGGTAATTGAAATTCCACTCTAAATCGATCTACAGTGAGAAAAGGTAAAATATTTAAAGTGGAGTTCCACCCAAAAGGGGAAGTTCCGCTTTAAAGACTGGTCCCCCACTCCCCATTAAGGATTGACAGTTGACACCTTTGGGGAGTGGGTATCTGAAATTGACAGGTACCCGCTCCCACTTCTGTTGTGATCACCTAGGCGATCGAAGCGGAAGTTGTCCTCCCCCCCCCTTCCTCCCTGTAATCTTATGGGACACGTGACAGGTCCCAGAAGACTACGGGGCCAATCAAGAAGCTCAGTGCTACTCGCGCATGCACAATGGTGCCTACATTGAAGGTGCCGGCGTCTGGAACAAGGATGGCCGGTGAAACGGGCTGTGGGGAGGACACCGTGGGATCGTGGGACAGGTAAGTGGCTATTATTTAAAAGTCAGCAGCTACAGTTTTTTTTTTTACAGTGTGAGTGGAACTCTGCTTTAAATAAAATTCCCTGCTCATAGTTCTAAAATGAACTTGAAAACTTTAATTAAGAACATAAAAACTTGGTTGTACAGACTTTTCAGTACATTAACACCATGAAAATGTTCTCTTCTGCATGCTGCTTCATGCTGCATATGCATGAACAAAAAAGGCACATAACAAAGTATTAAAAGCTTTTGGAAGGTCCTTCTGAAAACCCATACATCACACTGTACACACACAAGTGCCGAATTTGAGGAAGAAATTCGATTCGATGCGAATTTATTCGCTGCGAATTTAACTTATAAAAAGGTTTCTAGGCTTCAGAGAGCCTTTATATTAGTGCAGAACACTGTACCTTTAATTTAAATGCCCTTGGAGATGAGGAAGGAGAAGGAGAAGGAGAAGGATGAGAAGAAGGAGAAGGAGAAGGATGAGAAGAAGGAGAAGGATGAGAAGAAGGAGAAGGATGAGAAGAAGGAGAAGGATGAGATGAGGAGAAGGAGAAGGAGAAGGATGAGAAGAAGGAGAAGGATGAGAAGAAGGAGAAGGATGAAGAAGAAGGAGAAGGAGAAGGATGAGAAGAAGGAGAAGGATGAGAAGAAGGAGAAGGATGAGAAGAAGGAGAAGGAGAAGGATGAGAAGAAGGAGAAGGATGAGAAGAAGGAGAAGGATGAGAAGAAGGAGAAGGATGAGAAGAAGGATGAGAAGAAGGAGAAGGATGAGAAGAAGGATGAGAAGAAGGAGAAAGGATGATGGAAGAAGAAGGATGAGAAGAAGGAGAAGGATGAGAAGAAGGAAGAAGGATGAGAAGAAGAAGAAGGATGAGAAGAAGAAGAAGGATGAGAAGAAGGAGAAGGATGAGAAGAAGGAGAAGGATGAGAAGAAGAAGAAGGATGAGAAGAAGAAGAAGGATGAGAAGAAGGAGAATTCCCAAGCCGGCAAAAAGTGTATCTGCAGAGCTCCGCTATTTCTTAGCGGAGCTCTGCAGATACACTTAGAGGAGCTCTGCAGATACATTTTTGCCGGCTTG